CTTCTGCCGCTACGCCAAGGCCCAGGCAGCCCAGAAGCACCAGGAGCAGCGGCAGCAGTCGCGGCCGCGCTGCCGCCTCCCGGTCGCCGAGGAGGCTGCCCGTCCAGCCGGGCCGTCCGGGCGCGCTCCGGTCGCTGCCCATGCTCTCGGCGCCCAGCCCGGCCCGAACACTGCACTCGATCGCCGGCACCGGGTCCTCGCACTCGTCTTGGAAACTTGCGACGCTCCCTGGCTCCTGGCCCGGCTGCCGCGCGGAGGACCTCGGGCTCCGGTCCCCGCCGGAGCCGCCAAGGTTCCCTCGGCAAATTCCCAAGCCCGAGGAGAAGCAGGCAGGGCAGGTCCGGGCGCGCGGAACCAGCTGGCGGGTGAGGGGGCCGGCCGGAGGTGCCCCCCGCGGGGTCCCGCAGCCTCGGCGCCCAGCGCCTGGGGCCCGGCTCCCGAGAGCGAGCGCAACTCCGGAGCCTTTGTCTGGCTCAGCGCTCCGGCCGCCCGGTCCCGCGGCGCCCCCTGCGCGCCCAGCTCCCTCTGTCCATGCCCGGGGCCGGGCGCTGCCCGGAGCGCGCACCTCCTGCTAGCGGACTGTGCTCGCCGCCGCGCCCCACCGGGCGGGTGTCCCCAGGTAGTCCAGGGAGGCGGTGCAGGGAGCCGACCCGAGCGAGCGAGCGAGCGAGCGAGCAAGCCAAGGAGCGGGCGCCCGATGTCCCCGGCGAGTTCGGCGCTCCCAGCCCTCCTCCCCGCGCGCCGCGGCCGCCGCGCTCTTAAAGGGCCAGTGCGCTCCCAGAGCGCGGACCCGGGCGGGGGGCGGGGACGGTGCCCCACCGGAGGCTTCTCAAGAGCAGGTGCGGGCGGCGGAGGCCCAGCAGGTGGGTGTCCCCGATTACTCTTCCCAGACGGCGGGAAACCTCTCTAGCCCACCTCGCGTCACTCCCAACCTAGCGTCTGGGGCGGTGGGGGAGAGGGGTGACCTCCAACTCAACCCCCTGCGGAGGGAGGAAGCGGGGAAGGCGTGGTCTCCCTGCTTGGGAGGAATGAAGACTCCTCCTTCTCCTACCTGGTAGGGGGATACTGAGGCCGAGGGGGACGGGAAGAAGGTCTTAGGGGAGGGACCAAAGAGTCCAGTTTTAGGTTTTAAAAAAAATCTATATATGGAAATTTGTCAGCCTGAAACCTCTTTTCAAAAGCCCCTGGGTGTCCCTGGCCCTTGAGTAACTTTGCTCAGTAGCAAAGTGAGGGTTTTGTGCGCGTCTAGGATGCGTTGCGGCAGACAAGGGGCAGGTTTAGCAGGGACACGGTTCAAGTTCCGGGTCCGCCCCTTAGCTGCAGCTCGCACGTGGGCAAATTAATCTCTTCGAGCCTCTATGTTCTTATCGGGAACGTGGGGCAAAGAGTTGGGGTTAGGGCGAGGTAAGGCTTCCGGTTCCTGGCCTGGCGCAATAGGTGCCCAAGCACTTTGGCCACTGGCTGGTGCGAGTGAAGTGCGACAGTGCGGCCCGACGAGGCGCGGGGCGGGTGGACACACCTCCCTGCGAAGCCTAACGAGCTGGACTTCATTCTATTCCGGAAGCAGCTTGAGGTCGCGGCGGGGTGGATGCAGGAGATCAGAACTAGGAGGCCCGCGTCGAAGGTCCGCGGAGACCCGGGGGCCAGGCCAAGGGCAACCCTGGCGCGGTGGACTGGCTGGAGGGGTCAGTGGGTGAGGGCCGCTGGCAGGAGGGCGGAGACCGCATTCCTTATCTTCAGACCCGGAAATGGAAGCTGTCATTACCTGAGGGCGGTTTCTCTAGAGCTGGCCCTCGGGGCATCCCAGCCGGCCTCACCTCCCGGAAATTGGAAATCAGGAGACCTGGCAGAGCGCCTTAGAGAGGGTTTTGAACCCTCCTACCAGGCGAAGGTGGAGAGGCCACCGGGGATGTCCTTGGGGAAAAGAAGTCAGTTTGGAAAAAGTATCCTGGCAATTTCATCATTTCCACGGACTCACTTCTTTGTGGGATCCCTCATCTGGGAAGTGGGTTTCTAAATCCTCCACTTTGAAATTTGCTTTTGGGAAATGGGCAGTGGTCTTCAGGCACCGACAACAAGGCTGTCCTTGTTTAACCGACCACATTGCACTCTTTAATGAAATTTAGTCCGGATCAGCCAATTTAAAAAAGTTTGAGGCTAGCCGAAGTGGCTCAAGCCTGTAATCCGAGCACTTTGGGAGGCCGAAGCAGGAGGACTGTTTTAGCCCAGTAGTTCCAGACCAGCCTGGGCAACATGGCAAGACCCCATCTCTACAAAGAATACACAAATTAGCCAAGCGTGGTGGTGCACACCTGTAGGCCCAGCTACTTGGGAAGCTGAAGTGGGAGGATCACTTGAGTCCAGGAGGTTGAGACTGCCTTGAGCTATGATCATGCCACTGCCCTTCAGCCCAGCTGACAGAGCAAGAGCCTGTCTTAAGAAAAAATAGGTGGGGTTTATGGGGCGAGCTATTAGTAAGAGGAGCCCAGGAATGAATGGAGCAACAATCTTAGAGGCCTGGGTCAGTTAAGTCTGGTGATTGTTTTCTCCCTGTTGGAGGTTCCTCTCCTGGGGTCCAATCCTGCCTTAAGGAAATGACATCCCTTGTGACCAGATCTTGAAGCTCCCAGTTATTGGTTCTGGCTTCCATAGGTACTTTGGGAATCCAAGGTGGATTTGCACCTACATTCAACACAAGATGGCTGGGTTTCTACCAGGTCTGGCCAGCACCCCAAGCCCGAAAGGACCAGTCAATGGGACTGAGTGAGATGTGTGAACTCCAGCCCTTCCATCAAGTAGCTTTAAACCTTATCCACATTTTGCCATTATCTTTCATCTCTACCCTGACACCCCCGCCCACCACCACACACCTTTTTTTCTTGGAGTCTTTTGAATGAAAGCCCAGACATGGTGTTTCAGAACAGTTTCATTTACAGGTCCCGAAGTGGAAGTGTCGTGAGGGGTTGTAAAAAGCTCTGGATCAGAAGCTAGATCCCTGGATTTCTGCCTCAGCTCTGATTTACTGGGCAATCCCAGCAAGTTATTCCCCTTTTTGGGTTTGTTTCCTCATTTGCAAAAGGAGAGTTTTGAGGTCGTAGGGGAGGTCTCCTGTTCAGTGAAGGAAAGTTGCTGTGGGCTGGAACTAGGCCCAGGACACCCCCTCCTCTAGCTGCCCCCTCCAGGGGCCCCTCGGGCGATGCACCCACCCAATGCACCATCAAAGGTGAAGCAGGCCTTGGGACTCTTGGTGCCAAGACAAGGAATAAACAAACAAGCCAAGGTAATTTCCCTCTCCCCTGGAAACAAAGCTGGGGTGGTCTGGAGAGGCACTGGAGAATGCCAGCTGGAAATCGGCCAAACAGGCGTGAGATGATCATTTCCCTGCCCTGCGGGGAACATCTGAGGACACCCAGGCCAGATGTGTTGATTTTGTACTCTCCCTAGTGCAATAAAATCCCCATCAAGAGCATTTCTTTGGGCCAGTCTGCCCGGTGGGGTGGGGGGGACCGCAGCCTGCTCTGGTCTTCCCTCTGTCTCCGGAGTTGTCTCCCGGGTTTCTCCTCTTATGGAGAATCTCCTCTTATGGAAGAGCCCCGGCTGCTTCTGCACTGTCAGAGGGAGTGCTCGCTCCATGCACTCGCTCACTCTGCTCCAGAGGCACACTCAGTGTCTGGGTGCCCGCCAAGCTGCTGCCGCCAGCCTCCTCCTCAGGCCCAGCCTGCCTACCCATCCCCCTCAGCGAGTCTCCTACTTCCTTCCACCATTGCCATCTTCCATTCTCCATTGAAGACTGGTTATTGATCTTGGCCCGTTTCTCAAAGTTGCTGCACTCAGATTCCATCCTGAGCACAGATGGACTCCCCAGCCACATCCTCCCCCAGGGGAATGGCCCAGTCCCTCTTCCTGGGTTTGTTACTGGAGGCCCTATCTCATACCTACCTCTCCTCCCAATATAAGCCAGTGTCCAAGTTTGGGGAAGTGCCGTGTTGAGGATGGGGATTCTTCTCTGTGCTCCCTGCCTGCTCATGCCCCTGCCTTCACCAAGCACCCAGTTCAGGGCCTGTTACAAGGCAGGTGTCAGTTAAGTGCAGCCTGCACAGCCAGAATTGCCATGTTGCTTGCAAGCCATAAAGTATGCCTGGCATCCTCCTCCTCTCCAGAAAAACCAACCTACTGATGGATCAGAGTCAGCAGATCAGTATGGTGTAGAGCAGGAACAAGGCACAGAATGTGCCTGGGTCTTTCGGTGCAGTGTCTGGGAGGCTGCCTCAGGAAAGGCAGGGTTGCAGGGACCACAGTGAGAGCCAGGGCAATAGGCTCCTTTCCCTCAAACCCTGTGAGCCCACCCAGATGCCAGGTCTGACCACGAGGCGGTATATAGGGCTGGATCAGGGCTGCCCCAGCACAGGACCTGAGGTTAGGCTGAGACTGGATCAGGGCCGCCCCAGCACAGGACCTGAGGTTGGGCTGAGACTGGATCAGGGCCGCCCCAGCACAGGACCTGAGGTTAGGCTGAGACTGGATCAGGGCCGCCCCAGCACAGGACCTGAGGTTAGGACTGAGTATGGCCCTTCCTTGTGGTTTCTCATATAAGTAGTCACTGAACCTGTTCTTGTAACAGCAGACTAGTCATTCCCACCCTGCTTATCTTTCAGGGGGACACTGGAAGACATGAGAAGGTTCTGGGAAGCACTCAGTGTCACAGCAGAAGGCCTCAGTATCTGCCTATGCCAGTGAGGGATGCAGGTGGTGACCCCTGACACACGCCTAACCCCAGGCTAGATGTGCCATGTGAGAGCTCTGTGTGTAGACCTGGCAGGCCGGGTGACCCCTCCCTACCCTCATTTTACCGAAGCGTCATTAATGTCTCTCAAGGCCACCTGGGAAGTTACAGCAGAGACTTCCAAGAGTCCCTCTAAACTGTGAGACACAGTTGGACAGTGTAGGGGAAGATGAAAGTCATCTTTTCACTGGGTTAAATACAAGTAGTCCAAAAAAGATCCAAAATAAAAAATGCAATTTTTATTTGTTGAACATAATTAAAAACTATAACATAAGAAGATTTCTGTATCCATCACCAGAAATACAGAAGACACCTGGAGAGGACTGACTGTTCCTTTGCCAGGAGGAAGGTTTGATGAAAAAACCTGCCTCCATGTTGCCCCTCAGAACGCCTGCAGCTGCAGTGGGCGGGAGGCAGCAGCAGCAGGAGAACCCCGGCTGTGAAAGGCTCCTCTGCCTCTCTGGGAAAGCTGCTAGAGAGGTCACAGTGCATTGGAGGCCTGGCTTTCAGCCACTGACCAGGCCAAAATGAAATATCTGCTCCTCTCCCAGGCACCTTGCTGGGGGCGAGTGGAAGAAAGGAGTGGAGAAAACTGATGCTGGACCACAAATTATCACCCCATACCTTGGCCCTGAAGTGGCCCCTGCTGGCACAGAAGCAGGGTGGGAGTAAAAGTAATGTTCAAGGAGAGAGGCTGACAGACCAACTGAAGCACCCCATGTCCTGGCTTGACCAGGAATAAGTCAGGGCATGATGATTTTAAAAACTGATCTGAGGCCAATAGCATCGAAATACAAATTGCTAAAGCAGGGGAAGTGGGAGAAGGAGTGAAGGGCTGTTTGTTAGAGGAGCTACAGTGGAGATTCTGGCGAGTGTGGGTGGGCTCGCCAGTGACCCCAATATTTTCTTTGCAAAACAACCACAGAGTAAGAATTAGGATGCCGAGGCTGCCCTCTACTGGCAGTTTCTGGGAAGGGCCACAGCACAGCAGCACCCAATCAGCAACCCACGATAGCCAAGTGAGGAGAGAGATGAGAGAGGGAGAAAGAGAGAGGAGAAAAAAGATAGGAGAGAGAGAGAGAAATGATCAGCACTCAGGGAGGATGAGGAGGGGCTGAACGCATGGCTGGGGCCTCCTAGGGGGAGGCTAGAAGCATCTCCATCGATTTTAGGGGGTTCCTCCATCTCAGCCTGGCCTGCAGAAGGGCTTGGAGGAGGAAGGCCTCTGGTGCTCACTTCAAAGGCATCGAGAAGAACTTGTTCCCAGACTTGCAGCGGACTTGCTCAGTATGCATGCGCAGCAGCACCTCAGCATCTTCAAACCCATCCACAATTGCCTTAAAACAGCAGCCAGGGAGGACGGTCACATGAAAGGGCATCTGGGACCCAGGGGTTTGCACTGCAAACAAAACCAGCTCACTCAACTTCAGAGGCTGGGCGAGGCTGAGGCTGCAGGCTCCAGGCTCTGCATTGGTTATCTTGTCTGACCACTTCTATAATCTCTGAGGTTGGTCTTATCATCCCAACTTGACAGATGAGGGCACAGATGCTCAGAGCCCTGGATTACAGAAATTAATAAAACCAGGCCTGGGACCCAGCTCTGCTGGAGCCCAAACCTGAGCTCTCTGTCACCTCCAGCCATATCAGGCCAAGAGCAAGGCAGCTTCTTAATCAGAGACCACAGCTGCATCCAGCCTGCACATGTTTGGTTTGGCTTGCAAAATGTTTTTTAAACATCCAAATTAGTTGCTGCCATTTAGAAACTGACAGATTCCATGTAAAAATCTAGTTTTCTGGCTTCTCTTATAAAGCAGAAGTGCTAGCAACTCTAGGCCTGCCTTCCTGCAAGGCCACACTCCCTACGGCCTCCCCGACCAGAGGTGGAGTATCAGCCACCACTTACCACTTCATACAAACTCCTCCTAGGGCACAGATGGGAAAGCAAAATCTTTTAGCTACTTATCAAAATTTGACAGACTCTGGGGGCTGGATGTTCCTTACACATTTTGCCTATTTCCAATGCCAGGCCCAAGCCTCTGACCTAGGGGCAAGTAGCTAGGACTTCAGGGGAAGCCTGCAGCCTCCTCGCAGATCAGTATTCTAGGGCAGTGCTTCTCAAATGGTAATGTACACACAAATTCCCTAGAGATCTTGTTAAAATGTAATTCTGATTTCTTATGCCTGGCATGGGACCAGAGATCTGCATTGCTAATAAGCTTCAGGTGATGAAGCTGCCAGTCCAGGGGCACACCTTGAGTCACAAGGGAAGGCGTTGGGGTCTCCTGCCATGTCATTTGTTTCCCAGGGATTCAGGTTTGGGTGCCTCATCCTCCCCACTCCAGCATCTGTCCCGTCATTTCTGGAGTTCAGCACCCTCTGTACTCCCGCCCCAGGAATTCACCTGTAGTTCCTGCAGGCACTGCCCCTCCAGCTGGAGACGTGCATCACCCACACACCAGGCCAGGCTGAGGTGGAAAGAAGGATCCTGGGGAGGGAAATGAGAGGTAGGTCAGCCGGATGCCTTGGCAGGCCCTGCTATCACAGCAGGTCTGTGACAGAGCTGTCATGACGTCCCTGCTAGATTCCTGTCCTGCCCAGTGGGAGACAAGATTCTCAGCGTTGGTCCCAAGCACCCTCCACAGACAGACAAAACAGCCCAGGACTGGTCCCATGGACTGAATCGTGCCCCCTCCCCCAAATTCATGTAGCCCTAACCCCCAATATAATAATATGTAAAGTGGGGCCTTTGAGGGGTAATTAGGGTTAGATGAGGTCATGAGGGTAGGACCCTCATGATGTGATTAGTGCCCTTTAACCACAGAGAGCTTGGGCACTAGTCTCTCTTCCTGCAGCCCCACTCCTGCCCCACCATGTGAGGACATGGCTAGAGGGTAGCCATCTACAAGCCAGGAAGAACCCTCACCAGAAACCAACCACACTCGGCTGGGCATGGTGGCTCACGCCTGTAATCCTGGCACTTTTGAAGGCCAAGGCAGGCGGATCACCTGAGGTCAGGAGTTTGAGACCAGTCTGGCTAACATGGTGAAACCCTGTCTCTACTAAAAATATAAAAATTAGCTGGGCATGGTGTCACACACCTGTAGTCCCAGCTACTCAGGAGGGTGAGGCAGGAGAATCACTTGAACATGTGAGGTGGAGGTTGCAGTGAGCCGAGATTGCGCCACTGCACTCCAGCCTCGGTGGAGACAGAGTGAGACTCCATCTCAAAAAAAAAGAAAAAGAAAAAGAAAGACACCAACTATGCTGTCACCTTGATCTTGGACTTCTAGCCTCCAGAACTGTGCAAAAATAAATTTCTGTTATTTAGGCCACTCAATCAATGGTATTTTGTTATGACAGCCTGAGCTAAGACACTCCTATTCACAGAGGCTTTCCTTGAAGTGTCATAGAGAGTCATTACATCTGTGACATGAAAGAAAACCCAGGCTCTGACTCTGTTCTGATCTAGGACATTCCAGTATACACCATACTTTTCAGATGACATGAGCAAAACCCCAAAAGTCCCAAGTTTTGAAGAAACAATACATGTCTCCATTCAAATTCATACTTATTCACCTCAGCACGGGTTAAAAACATCTATCAAATAACACTAATGGCCCTTTAAAACCCCGATAGTCGACTCAGAGTCCAAGTGCCCCTGGAGGGCCTGGGCAAGGCGCAGGAAGGTGTGTAAAGCTATAGCTCTTCTCTGAGTGTCAATTTGACCAAAAAATCTTAGGGACATCTACTTTAAAAATGTAAAAACAACATGGGTACATTATGAAGCAGAAGGTACAGATCTCAGGCATATTTAAGACATACAGCAAGATTTCTAAGAAATGTTGGACTTTGGGTGGGCCGCATCCGACTACCCCTCAAAGCCCTGGCCTCCCAGGGTGTGCGCCCTCTGAAGACTGGCGTTTGTAGCACTCACACGGGAGGGAGGTTCTGCAGGGTCTTTGGTTAAAGATGGTTTTATTCTCGTTAGAGATGGGTCATTGGAGAAGCAGCAGCCCCATTCATTACCTGGTAGAAAGTGGTAAGGTCGAATTCCTCCATGACTCTGTCCACCTCTGAAACCAGGTCCAGGAACTGGGCATGCCCTGAAGTGACCTCGAGCCCAATAAAGGTCCTGGGGAGAGGAAGACAACACAGGCATGAGATGCAGCCTCTGAGAACACCTGCCATCCGTGCAGCCAAAGAGGTGGCAGGCAGAAGGCCAGCCAAGAGGCCTGGGCCCTGGGCCTCACCCTGTCTCCCTGGAACGCTGGTTTTCCTGCTCTGTGAACCAGCTCTCTCAGTCCTCAGATTCTCTGTCTGTAAACCTTCCTTTCCCAGTTCTACACACATCTTTCCTCCCTCCCCTGCATCTAATAACCCATACAGGAATGCCTTCACCCACCACTGCCAAGTCACAAACCCAGAAGCTTCTGCACCCCCATTCTCCATCACTCTTCCAATTGCAAACGACTCCTGTCCTCAAAGAGATCTCTTCTCAAGGACTTTGCTCTCTGGCATCTGCTACCCCTCCCATAAGCACTCAGACTCTCTCTCATCTTTAGAAACTCTCCCCTGAAGCCACGTCTTCAGCAGTGTCCATCCCATTCTCAGTAAAACTTCTCAAAAAGATGATTTGTCCACCATCACTATCTCTTTCTCACCTCCCACCTTCAATGCACTTTGCTGGAAGGGCTCTTGTCAAAGTTGCCAACAACCTCCATGTTACCAAATCCAAGGGACACTTCGCTGTCTGCCTCTTACCCGCTCAGCAGTATCTCACACAGCGGACTTCCCTCCTTGAAACCCTGTTCTCTCTTGGCTCCCAAGACACCACATGCTGCACAGTCCTGGTTTAATCTTACCTCCTGCCTCCCGGTTCAGTGTCCTCTACCACCCTCTCTCCTCTCCAGCCTCTCTGTGGTGAAGGAGAGACGGAGCTCTGCAGTTCTCACTGGCTCTTCTCCATCTGCTCTCTCCAGGAGGCTGATCTCACCCAGACCCGCTTTCTCATACAGGCCAACACTGTGTACATTTCTATCTCCAGCTGGTTCCTGTCCTGAACACCCAGTTGTGTCTGTGACATTTCCACCTAGGTGTCTGACAGGCAACAAAACCAAACAGGTACAAAGCAGAACTTTTGATTTTTATCCCACCGGTGTCTCCTATCACAGAAAATGGGGCCAGCTGTTCTAGCTTTAAACCCAGGAATCGATGTTCGCTTTCTTCCTTCACATAAACCCAACCCATTGGTAATTCGGCCACTTCTGCCTCCAGTGTATCTCCAACGTGTCCACCTCTTGGTCTTGCACGGCCATCACCCTAATCTAGGCCGCAGTGGTCCCTCACCTGGACAATGACACCTGGCTCCTTTCTGGTCTCCCTGCATCCACCCTTGCTCCCTTCTGTCTTGTCCTGAGACTCCACAGTCACAGACACACCATCTAGTCAGACTGCTGTCCCAAGGTACAGATCAGATTATACCTCTCCGCTGTTCACATCCCTCCAATGGCTTCCATGATGCTGAAAATTCAAACTCCTTACTTGACCTTGCAGACCCTGCATGGGCCAACCCTGCCCATCTCATCTCCTATCCTTCTCCTGCATGCTCTCTGGGTTCCACCTCACTGGTCTCCTAAACAGGCTGAACTCTTCCCTGCTTCAGAGTCACTTAGTTTGCTGTCCTCCACTTGAAGATCTTGGAACAGCTCTTCCCAAGGCTGGCTTCTCATCCTCAGGTCACCATCAAATGCCATCTCCCTGGTGCCCTCCTGGACTACCCGCTCCCGACCACTGTATCACACCACAGTTATTAACAAACACTCTCATTACTTACTATCTCTCTCCCCTCTGAATATGAGATGGAAAAGAGCAGGAACTGTGTCTGCCTCTTCACTGCTGAATCCTTAGCATACGGCAAATGCCTGGCACAAGTGGGTGCTTAACGAACTTGTGCAGCGCGGACTAAATGAACGAGTAAATGAGGCCCCTTTCAGAAGTGCTCAGAGAAAGTGGCCCAGTGAGTGGATCAGACAGGGAGGCTCGCTTTGAAGCTGGGATAATAATTTCTTCTAATGTTCATCTAACACTTTAATACTTTTAACTTTTCAAAGGCCTTGGGGCTCATTTGAGCCTCACAACTGCCCAACAATGGATGCTGGGAGGTGTGTGCTGGCGTGAAAGGGGAGGAGTGTGCCAGTGTGAAAATGAAGGTCACAGAGATGAAGACATGGGCCAAATGCCACAACTGGGATGGAGCTGGGGCAGGAACAGGTTTCTGACTTTCACAGGTTTTCACTAAACCAAGATGCTTCTCTCAGTCTCTATGCACCACCCCTCACGTGGCTCCCCCAGTTATTATTATTATTATTATTTTTTTCAGACAGTGTCTCACTCTGTTGCCCAGGCTGGAGTACAGTGGCACAATCTTGGCTCACTTTAACCTTGACCTCTAGGGCTCAAGCGATCCTCCCATCTCAGCCTCCCAAGTAGCTAGAACTATAGGCACACACCACCATGCTTAACTAATTTTTATATTTTTCATAGAGACAGGGTTTGGCCATGTTGCCCAGGCTGGTCTGGAACTCCTGAGCTCAATCTATTCACCTGCCTCAGCCTCCCAAAATGCTGGAATTATAGGTGTGTGCTACTGCACCTGGCCTCCCCCTGTTATTTTTCTTAATGAAAGGTTCAGATTTGGGGATAGCTGCCTTTGTAGTCAGTTGGTTAAAGGCAAACAAAAATGGGGACAAACAAGTCCAGAGGCAAAGCCCTCGATTTTTGCACCAAAGAATCTTCCTCTAATAGTGACTAGGGGTTGGGAGGACCCACCTGGTTTTCTCTTGATTGGTGTAAATCTTTACCTGGTTGGCAGTAAAGAAGAATCTGAAATTTAGAAGAAAATATTTCAGAAAAAAGTAGCTTATGTTAAAAAAACCAGCACTTTGAAAATATAGTGAACTCATTTTACACTTAATATTATCACCCCATTATGCAGGTGGTATCCTGAACCCTAAAATATTAGAGCTGGACAAGACCTTGAAATCACCCATCCATGAAACACACAGCGTCACCCAGGTGCTAGTAAAAATCTTACTTTGTTAATAGCCATTCATCTTGATAAACAGTTTGAGACTATCTCAACTTTGCTGATGGGAACTGAGAAAGCCTTATTGATCAAGTAGGTGATAATAAACCACTTAAAGGCCGATTCATTTCTTGCAGTTTTTTTAAAAAAATAGACAACTCCAATTTCATCTAAGCAATCATGAGACCATTTCCTTGTGTGTCAGCGCTGAGCTCAAGCCTCTGCACACATCTGCTTCTTGAATCCTCACACAACTCTGAGCATCTTATAGACAAAGAAACAGAGGTGAAGGTGAATCTGCTGAGCCAGAATTTGAACCTCAGTCTGCCTGTTTCCAGAGTCCTTGCTGTCACCTATGACCCTTTGGTGAGGGGAAGTGGGTCTCTGTTGGTGTGAAAATGAGACAGATGCCCCCCCCCCCCACGCCTCAGATCAATAATATAGGAAGAGCCAGGCTCAGCCAGGTAAGTGCTTTGACTTGGGCAGGTTTCTGCCTGTTGTTCTCTGAGATACTAACAACCTCACCGTGGAAGGTCCCGTCACAGAAACAGATCATTTACAGCCCCCAGGCCAAGGGTCTCACCCCCATCTGAGGGAACATAATATACCAGCATGCTGGGTAGAGCCTCACGATCTGTCCAAGGGCAAAAGTCAGCCAGCCAACTCTCTGCCTCTGGGGAAAATGTAAGGGATCACAGAACCACCAGGAGCTGGGATAAGCGCAGCTTTTAGGAATAGTTCTGCAAGGTGTCTGACAAACATCCTGGAGTGGACACTGGATGTCTGCGTCCAACCAACACCCCTTGTCCTGGTCACCTCGTCATGCAGGATGGCTCTCTACCCCTACTCCAGAGGCAGGTTGCCCAGGCCTGGCCAAGCAGAGCTTAGCCTCTCCTCAGTCACAGAACAGTCAGGGGTCACCTTCGCCTCAACCAGATGATTGAACTCGAAGAGACCACACCTGGCCTGGCTTCACTCGTGACACAGAGCAGTGACAGATCCTTTCCTCAGAGGGAACTAGCCCAGGGGTCCAGGTGCCATTTTCTGGTCTCCCAGCGAGCAAGGGAACCAGCCACATATACATCCCACAAAGTCCAACCTGCAATGGACTTTGGGCAGTTTTCAGAGGTCCCAGCAAGGAACTCGTGACCAGTGAAGCAACCACTGTATGCAGGGGAGCCCAGGCCGTGGCTTCCCTGCAGGGGCACAGTTCACGCCGTCTTCCTGGCGCAGGTGCAGCATGCCAGTCATCAGCACTAACATAGCCGCACTCCTTCATCCAGGGAACAGAGCTTCCGCAGGATAAGGGAAGCACTCTGTGTGGAAAGGGGAAAGGCCTGTTAACTCTTTACTCCCAAAGAAAGAGCACAGGAGGCAGGTCAGACCAGTCAGTCATTCCTGTGACTTGTGTTGAAGCCAGTCAGAGAGGGGGACTGTCTTCCCAGGCTGGTACACCATCAGCCCGGAGATGTGGTGGCTTCCTTTGTCACTGCCATCTGACACCTTCTTGTCACCCTGGTCCACTCATGCATGAGCCAGTCCTACCTCTGAACCTTTTAGTTATACCAGCCTATGAATTTCTTTTTGGTTTAAGCCACTTCGGGTTGGGTTTCTGGCACCTGTGGTTAAAAGAGTCCTGATAATAAACATATGGCTCAATAAGTTTGATAGTGATAATCCGAAGGTGGGGAGCGCTGGACTAGGTTGAGAGACGAGTTTCAGCCCTGATTCCCTGGCTGAGTGACTGGACTGGGACAAATTCTCCTCTGGGCCTCAGAAGGGGTTCAACTAACTGAGCAGTTTCCCAGTTGGGCAGTGACATCCTATGGAATTCCTGGGCCTATGGCCTCCTGACCTGTGGGAGTGCAGCTTTGGCTAGAAGATTTCTATTTATTTCCATCTTACACAGCCACACACCAGGCTTTTGTGCAACACCTCATTTGAAGAAAGGCTCTGCTGATAAAGGCAGAGTCAGAAAACCACCAGCTGGGCGGCTTCTTAGGCTCCTTCTAGTACCAAGAGCAGAGGATCCAGAAAGATATTCTTTGTGCTCCCTCGTCCCTGCTCCATGACTCAGCAAGCATCTATTTGATGTCTACAGTGAGCAGAGCACCTGCAAACAAGCTGCGGGTAATTCAGAGGGAAGCCACAGAGGAATGTGAGCTCCAGGAGGGAAGATGGACACAGGAATGACTGCGTATGAGGGGAGTGAAATGACCACCAGGGTCAACAACCACAGGACCGAATGAGCTGCGGATGGAGGGATTCTGCAGGAGATGCCAACTGGGAGAGCCTCAGTAAAAGAGCAGGGTTTTGATCTGGATCCGTCCAGCAGGAGATGCATTTCTGGTAGGAAAAAGAGTTATGAAATAATGCAAGAGGTAAGGAGGAAAAAAGCTCCAGGCTGGCAGACAAAACCAGAAGTGGGGTCTGGTTCTATACGTTCACCAAAGTGGTGTGTTGAGGGCACCCATGATCTCCTTTCACCCTCCCAAGCCGCCAGTGAGGTGGCTCACCACCACTCTGACCTGTTTGCCCTATCATTGTGAAACAGTAACATATGTGTTGGTCTCAGCCTCTAGTTTCTGACACAGAGATCCTAAAACCTGTGTCATTTCCTAAGCAGTGGGGGTGCCAGGAGCATCTTTTTATCTATTGTTTGGTCTGTGACCCTTGGCTTCTGACACAGAGCTCCTAATCCTTTGGAATTTCCTGGGTACAGGGGTGTCTTTTGTTCCAACAGGCAACTCTTGGTGGGCTCCTGGATGGAGGCTGATCACAGAAAGAGCAAGGCATGTTTAGAAGCTGGGAACTTTCAGCTCTACCCCCCATCTTCCTGAGATGGGAGGGAAGCTAGAGACTGTGTTAACAATCAATCATGCCTACATGATGAAACCTCCAGAAAAATTCAGAACTACAGAGTTTGAGGAGCTTCCCTTGGTGAAAAAGAACGTATCCATGTGCTGGGTCGGGGGTGCACCCCCAACACAGGGTCAGAAGCTCCCATGCTGGGGACCCTTCCAGACCTTGCCCTAACTGTCTCTTCATCTGGCTGTTCATGTGTATCCTTTAATATATCCTTTGTAATAAACTGGCAACCTAGTAAGTGGATGATTTTCCTGAATTCTGTGAGCTGTTCTAGCAAATAATCAAATCTGAGGAGGGGTCCATAGATCCTCTGATTTGTAATGAAATGAGATGGATGTTGGGGGTTACCTGAGAACTCAACAATGCAGATGATGTCTGACATGGAGAGCAGTCTTGTGGGACTGAGCCCCTAGCCTATGAAGTCTGCCCTAACCCTGGGTTATTAGTGTCAGAACTGAGTTAAATTGTAACCCACTCTCCAGTGGGTGTCTGGAGAGTTGGATAATTTGCTGGTGTGGAAAAAAACCCTGCACATCTGGTCACAGAAGTGCTGGAAATACTGAGCGAGAGTTTACAGAGAAACAGCTGGCTTTTCCTACAGAGCAGATAAGGCATCAGGAGTGTCACGAGCTGCCACGGCATGCCCAAGGTCACAGAGGATGAGAAGTACAGCAGGCAGTCCCAGGAGAGGGGCCATGTTCTATCTTTAGGTCTGGCCTGCTTGCTGGGGTAATGCCTGCAATAGCTCAGGAGAGGAGAGGCCATGGAGGAAAGGGAGCGGAGAGGCAGAGGGAAACACTCACCTCTGGAAGGAGGCCACGCGGGCTTTCAGAGCTTGCACAAAGGGGAGGATCCAGTGGTGGCGCAGAACCACGCTCTGGGACAGGCTGAGGTGGAACGCCTCCATCCTTACCAGCCGGGGGACGTATGTCTGGGCGTGTGGCAGCAACACATCAAGAAGATCCAGGAACTCCTCCTTGGCTTCATCTGGAAGGGAAGAGTGAAGAAGGTGGGTCTTTCTCTCAGCCAAGGTGCCATGGTTGAAATGAAGAAGCCCAGAAGGCAGACGGAGGTCCTTATTACTCTGGGTTTGGGAAGAAAATTACTTGGACAGCAGTCTATGTCTCTGTCTTCTCATACCATTTTAATAGGTATTTCTGGGAAGTCCCAGCTTTAGCAATCAGACAAGTGAAAGCAACAAAAGGAATTCAAATTGGAAAGCAAGAAGTTAAATTATCCTTGCTTTAGGATGATATGATCTTATATTTGTCTTTTGTTTTTGTTTTTTTTTTTTGACAGGGTCTTACTTTGTTGCCCAGACTGGAGTGCAGTGGCTCAATCTCAGTTCCCTGCAACCTCTGCCTCCTGGGTTCAAGCGATTCTCCTGCCTCAGCCTCCTGAGTAGCTGGGACTACAAGGATGTGCTACCACATCTGGCTAATTTGTATATTTTTAGTAGAGATGGGGTTTTACCATATTGGCCAGGCTGGTCTTGAACTCCTGACCTCGAGTGATCTGCCCACCTTGGCCTCCCAAAGTGCTGGGATTACAGGCATGAGCTTCTGTGCCCAGCCTCATCTTATATTTGGAAAAGCCTAAAGCCTCCATCAAAAAACTATTAGAAACAAATTTAGTAAAGTTGCAGGGTACAAAATCAGCATACAAATCAGTAGCATTTCTACATGCCAACAATGAACAATCTGAAAAAGAAATCAAGAAAGCCATCCCAATTATAACAGCTACAAATAAAATAAAATAAAATACCAAGGAACATACTTAACAAGAAGTGAAAGATCTCTACAATGGAAACTATGAAACATGGACACAAGAAATTGAAGAGGACACACAAAAAAATGAGATGATATTCCATGTTCCTGGATTAGAAGAATCAACAGTGTTAAAATGTCTATAATACCTAAAGCAATCTACACCTTCAATACAATCTCTATCAAAATATCAGTGACATTCTTCACAGAAATAGAGAAAAAAAATCCTAAAATTTATATGAAACCACAAAAGATCCAGAATAGTCAAAGCCATCCCGAGCAAGAAGAACAAAACTGGAGGAATCACATTACTTCAAATTACACTACAGAGCTACAGTAACCAAAACAGCATGGTACCGGCCTAAAAACAGACATGCAGACCAGCGGAACAGAATACAGAAACCAGAAATAAATCCATACATCTACTGTGAACTCATTTTCAACAAAGGTGTCAAGAACACACACTGGGAAAAGATAGTCTCCTCAATAAAAGGTGCTGGGAAAACTGGATATCCACAAGCAAAAGAATGAAACTAGACCCCTATCTCTTGCCATATACAAAAACCAGATCAAAATGGATTAAAAACTTAAATCTAAGTCCTCAGACTATGAAACTGCTACACACTGGGGAAACTCTCCAGGACATGGGTCTGGGCAAAGATTTCTTAATTTCCGGCAAGCACAGGCTACCAAAGCAAAAATGCACAAATGGGATATCCTATCAAGTTAAAAAGCTTCTGCACAGCAAAAGCAACAATCAACAAAGTAAAGAGACAACCCACAGAATGGGAGAAAATATTTGCAAACTATGCATAGAATAACCAGAATATATAAGGAGCTCAAACAACTATAGGAAAAAAATCAAATAATCCAATTTAAAAATGGTAAAAGATCTGAATAGATATTTCTCAAAAGAAGATATACAAAAGGCAAACAGGCATATGGGAAGCTGTTCAACATCACTGATCATCAGAGGCAAGCAAATTAAAACTATAACAAGCTATCAACTCACCCCAGTTAAAATGGCTTTTATCCAAGACAGGCAATAACAAATGCTGGTGAAGATGTAGAGAAAAGGTAACTCTCATACACTGTTGGTGGGAATGTAAATTAGTACGGTCACTAAAGAACAGTATGGAGGTTCCTCAAAAAAATAAAACAGAAATACCATAGGACCCAGCAGTGCGACTGCTGGGTTTGTACCCTAGAGAACAGAAATCAGTATCTTGAATAGATATCTGTAGTCCTCTGTTTACTGCAGCAATATTCACAATAGCAAGGATTTGGAATTGAGTTGTCCATCAACACACAATGGATAAAGAAAATGTGGCACATATACACAAAGGACTACTATTCAGCCACAAAAAAGAACAAGATCCTGTCATTTGCAGCAACATGGATGGGAACTAGAGGACATGATGTTATGTGAAATAAGCCAGGCACAGAAAGACAAACTTTCCATGTTCTCACTCATTTGTGGAAGCTAAAAATTAAAACAATTGAACACATGAAGATAGTAGGATTATTATCAGAGGCTGGGAAGGATAGTGGGGGTGGGGGGCAGGTAGGGTAAAGAATGAGGATGGTTGATGGGTACAAAAATATAGTTAAATACACCAGGCGTGGTGGCTCACGCCTGTAATCCCAGCACTTTGGGAGGCCGAGGTGGGCTGACCACCTGAGGTCGGGAGTTCGAGACCAGCCTGACCAACATGGAGAAGCCCTGTCTCTACTAAAAATAAAAAATTAGCAGGACATGATGGCACATGTCTGTAATCTTAGCTACTTGGGAGGCTGAGGCAGGAAAATCGCTTGAACTCGGCAGAGGTTGTGGTGAGCCGAGATTGCACCATGGCATTCCAGCCTGGGCAACAAGAGTGAGACTCTGTCTCAAAAAAAGTTAAATATAATGAATAAGATCTAGTATGTGATAGCACAACAGGGACTACACTCAACAATCATTTGCTGTACATTTTAGAATAAGGGAGTACAATTGGAGTGTTCATAACACAAAGAAATGACGAATGTTTGAGGTGATGGTACCCCATTTATCCTGATGGGGTACACTGCATGCCTGTATCAAAATAGCTCATGTACTCCATAAATATATACACCTATAATGTATCCAAAAAATTAAAAATAAAAAAAGTTAAAGTTTTGTAATTTTTTCTTTAAAAACTAGGCATTTCTGGTTATAGAAGTAACACATGCTCCTGAAATTCTGTCACCTAAAGCAATGGTCTCCAAACTACTGTAATCACACAGCCCATTAGTAAAACAAGTTTGCATGTATACGCTAATAAACATATATTTATAAATTACAAGTGTGTGCTACTCTGTAAAATTATGTGTTATAAAATGTGTACTCTCAAAAACAGAAACCTAAAAACAATGAGATAAAAAGAAACACATTAGGCTGGGCACGGTGGCTCACACCCGTAATCTAGCACTTTGGGAGGCTGAAGCGGGCAGATCACGAGGTCAGGAGACTGAGACCATCCTGGCTAATATGGTGAAACCCCATCTCAACTAAAAATACAAAAAAATTAGGCCAGGTATGGTGGCACATGCCTGTAGTCTTAGCTACTCAGGAGGCTGAGGCAGGAGAATCACTTGAACCCAGGAGGTGGAGGTTGCAATGAGCTGAGATCGCACCACTGGACTTCAGCCTGGGTGACAGAGCAAGATTCTGTCTCAAAAAAAAAAAAAAAAAAAAAAAGGAAATACATTTAAAAGTTCTAATAATTTTCTCCCACACCCTAAACTGTAGCATTATCTTGACCTCTCCCCTAGGGGATATATGCCCCACTTTCAACACCAACTTCCCCAGAGATGAAGACAGTTAAACTTTGGTGCCTATTTCCACTGCTTTTTCTTAGTGCATATACTAATGTTATTTGTTAAAAAAAAAAAAAAAAAAGAGTATACCATTTAAACGCTTCTGCAACTAATTTCTACATATAACATTACATGTTGGACATCTTTCCCCTCAGTATAGACAGGCCAAGTTCATTATAATCGCTCCATAGTAATCTATTAATCAGAATAAATTCGCATTTCTCTAATCAGTCTACTATTGAGAGACAGCTAGCATGACTCCAATTTTTCACAAAGAACACCACAATAACCACCCTTGTACGTTCACGTTACCTTTTTTTTTTTTTTTTTACCAAATATGTGACGGCAGCTTTATGATTAACAGAGTCTTCTATACCCAGTATCCTGCTCAATTTGCCCAAATTCCCTGGTGGATAGGCAGCATAGAGAATCATCTCATTCTCCTTGTGCAGATGGGGCAAAGGAGGTTTCAAGAACGTACCTGACCTAACACAAAACCTAAACTTACTCTGTCTACTGTGCTAACTTGACACAGATGATCTGATTTAATATTCATGAAAGTCCTAGAAGATTAGTATTACTACTCTCTCCATTTTATCTATTTATTTTATTTTATTTGACATGGGTCTCACTCTGTCACCCAGGCTGGAGTATAGTGGAGCGATCTTGGCACATCGCAATCTCTACCTCCCAGGCTCAAGCCATCCTCCCACCTCAGCCTCCCAAGTAGTGGGGACCATAGTGTGTGCCACCATGCCTGGCTAATTTTTTAGTATTTTTGGTAGAGACAGGGTTTCGCCACATTGCCCAGGCTGGTTTCAAATGTGTGGGCTCAAGCGATCTGCCTGCGTCCACCTCCCAAAGCTCTGGGATTACAGGTGTGAGCCACTTGGCCCAGCCAGCACTACCCCCATTTTAGATATGAAGAAACTGAGGCTCTGAGAAGTCTAGTATCTTATAAAGGCACCCAGAGTAGTAGGCAGTGGCATCAAGTCTGGCTCTGAAGCCTGGGCATTTTCTGCCTGCCACCTGCTCATCAGGGCTAGGGGGGGATTTCAACCTTGACCACCCAGTATACCAAGGGCCCTCTCAGAAATAAAGTGCCTGCTGTACCCTGGCATTACCTTGACATCCTGCTCCAGATTCTCTTTTGGTCACCTCCTCATGAGCAGGGAGAATATTATATCTAGAGTTAACATATATTTCAGGCTATGAATTCAAAACCAAGATGACAGAAAAATCCCTAATTCTTGAAACTTGCTCTTTCTCTGCTAAATCAGTGACTTTCCCACCACCAGTGCTAGGTTTTTGGTTTCTTCCTTTCAGCTGGGGCCGGATTCTGCCCTTCAAGAGGCATCTATGGGTCTATGGGTCTTGGCCACTTGCCTTTCACACATCACTCACATGGTATATAGACGTGGGTGGCCCAGTTGCCCCGCTCATGGGGGAAGGTGCGCACCCGTCCCCCATGTTTGGCGCTGTCATCTTCAGGCCCCTCCTCGGTGCCGGGGAACATGTTTAGCACACTGTCAGGTACTGGAAACCTCTGCCTGGGAAGGGGGCTCTGGCCACTGCAAAAGGAAAAAAAGACCAGTGAGCACATTTATCCTGTTAGCATTGTCTGCCTTTGTACATACCACAAAAGTTGTAGCCCCTTATATATGGTGGCTCTGAGTGTGTTTGCAGCCCGGTGCTGGAAGCAGCTTCTAGAGAGCCAAAATTGTTTCTCCAGTATGTCTCATTGGGGTCTCCAACTCTGGGGGACAGACCTTAGCAGGGCACGAGGTCCCCATGGGAACAACGGGGCACGCAGCAATGTGGCTCAGGAGTCACATTCCCAAGCTGTACAGGCTGCAGCTGAAGTAGCACTTTCTAGCTCTGTGATCTTGGGCAGGCTATGTTCCCTTTCTGGGCCTCAAATGCCTCATCTGAAACTATATGTCTACCTTATAGAGCAGTTGTGAGATCAGCTGAGCTACTGCTTGTAAAGCGCTCAGCAAAATTAAGGCCTACCACTTAAGAACCTAAGCCCCAGTAAGTGAGGCCAACGGCTTTGTTCACCGCTGAATTCCCAGACCCCAGACCCGCACGGAGTGGGAGGGAGCTCAGTGAATATTTACTGGATGAATGAAAAAGCTCTCCCTACACTTTAGCAAGTGTTATTATCGCAAATGTATTCACATCAGGAAACAGACCTGATCTGATGGTACAGAGATGTGTGCCGGACGATGGAGTGGGCCAGCACGGAGGCTGTACCCGAACCCAGGTGGTCTGGCTTCCCAACTTGGCCCTAGCCAGGTGGGGCCACTATGGGGCTTTGTCTGGGGGTATCTTCTGGATCGTCCTTTCTCCCTGAGTCCCCCTTTCCTTCCCCGGAGCCGCCCCGCACCATCCCTCCCCACTCCACCCCCAGACGCTAGGGTCCGGTCTGGGTCTAGGACGAATGCGCGAGCCCTCCAGAGAGACTTCCTCATTCCTCACCTACGTTGGCTCCCATCCCCCGGCCTGGTCCGCATCCCGTCCTCGGACTCATCCTCGGAGCCACTGCTGCTGTAGCCCACCAGGGGCGCCGCGCTCATGGGGCCTCATTCGAGACCACCGAGCAGGTCCTCCAGCAACCTCACCCGGCACCCGGAGTTCCGCTGTGCCGGAAGGGCCCTCCTGGGGGGCGGGGCCTGGGTTGGCACCGCCTCGGGGCGGGGCCAGGCGGGCCGGCAGGGGCGGGACCCGGCAGGACTGCAGCGGAGGCTCAGCCCACCCACCGCACGCTGCCTGCCGGGTGCGTACGCGGCGCTGGCCACCTGCCCCCCGCCCCCTTCCGGCAACCCCCAGCTTTCCTGTACCCATTTCACAGATGGCCCAGGGCCCTCACCTTTTTTCCCGCTACTCTGTCTGCAGCCAGCCGGGACCAGACCTCCCAGACACGACGGTCCCGGGTCAGCGCACTAGACCCAGAGGAGACCCCTGCTGCCCCGAGCCCGTCCAGGATCAGAGGTGCTGGAGCGCCCTCCTCAAACTGGCCCAAAGTTCGAGCCCCTAGGAGCCCAGCTGAGGAGTTAGGGGCGGGTCAATCGTGGAAGACCAGAGGGTCTAGAAGGCTCCTCCTCGCCCGCTCAGAGCCGGGCCGAGAGCGGCTCCCGGGAGCCCTCTCCCCTAAGACCGAGAGGGGTGGCCGGGAGCAGAGCGCCCTTCCTCCGTTAGCCGAGGCGCCCGGGCCCGGCGACTGGAGAAGCGCCTGGAGCACCCTGTTTGTCCGACCCGGCCTGGCCGCGGGGTCCCCGGCAGGGGGCGGCCTCGCTCCGCGCCGCCCGCTCCTCCTGCAGCCGCCGCCGCCGCCCGGGATGCCGCTCCTCCCCCGGCCCCGCCTCCCTGGCCCCCGCGCCGCCCGCCCGCCTGCCCGTCTCCGCAAGGCCGTCGGTCCGTCCGCCAGCCCTCCCGGCGCTCCTCGCCCCGGCCCCGCTACTCCGGCAGCGCGCGTCGCTTCCTCCGTTCCGGCCGCCGCTAGCCCGTCCTCCGCCCCCGGTCCGGCCGCCGCAGCTACGCGAGGCCGGGGATTGGCAGCGCGCGTAGGCCGCGCCGCCGCGGATGGAGCCGGAATAAAGGGGCGGCCGAGGGAGCAGCTGGTCGCCGCTCGCCCCGCGCCTGCCCTACAGGCGGCCTGGAGCAGGTGAGCGGCGGGGCGCCCGGGGCCGCATTTGGGGGCTACCCCCTTGCCCGCCGCACCCCTTCCCCTGCCTGCCCGGCCGCCCCCCCCACCCCCGCGCCCCTTAGCCACGACCTGGCGGCCTCTTGAGCTCCTGGGCGGCTCAGGCCGGGCCTCGACGCGCAGTGGCTTCCTGGGCCCGGCCTGCAGCCCTGGGGCCTTTCTCCAGCCTGGTCGCCCTCGGGGCCCGCCCTCGGGTCGCAGCGGCCGGGCCATCCGGGGCGAGGGCTGACAGGACGCGGCCCAGCTGGGCCTGCAGGCAGGGCCGGCGAGAGGTGATCAGCTTTCATTCGGTTTCTCCGGGAGGAAGAGCTGGGGTGGGGGGCAGGTGGGGTCCTCCCCTGCCTCTCCTCACCTCCTCTGTCCCCCTTGCGGAGTGATCAGAGAGGCTTCCTGGCTGCACCTTGCTGCAGGAGGGCTGGGGTGGGCAGGGGGGACTGCAGGCCAAGCCAGAGGACATTGAGTCTGACAGCTATTCATGCCAGAAAAAAGCAAACAAAACAGTGGGTTGGCACAGTGGACCTAGAGGCTTTCAGAGAAGCCCACCTTCCCCCTCTCTGTCCCGGGAAGGCTTAGATAACCGAGTGGTACCTGCGTGCTTAAGCAACTTGCTGCCTCCACCCAGAGCAGCCGCTCCTCTCTTCCCTCCCTTCCACAAGATGCTGAGGATGACAGCTTTTAGCCTGACTCTTACATTTCTTTGGCAGAGCAGTTAGAGGCCAGGCTGGCCTGTGAAGGCGTCTCCTTCCTTCTTCCTCTGCTCGAAGAAAACTTACAAACTTTTCAATGTAAGAGGCAGATAAGCTGGGAACCTGGAAGTGGGTTGCATCTGACTCTGAAAGTTCCTCCCTCTCGCTGGCATTACCTTATGCTGCCACAAAGTGGTGAGTTAGAGATTTGCCTGGGCTGGGTGGGCTTTACCTTCCAACGATTACCCAGAATGTTATAGACTTGGAGTAAGGGAATGGAGTTGTCTCCAGAGAGGTGATGAGAAGTGCTCTGTGGTTAGCCTGCTTCATCCTGCGTTACCAAGGCAAACCAGTACAGTTTCTTATATTTTCTGCAGGCCTTGACACTATGAGATTCAGAGGATTTGGGAGTGTGTATGTGTTCTGGGAGAGCACTAGAGTGAGGAATTCTGCTGTGTGGACATCAAGCCTGGGTGGCTCTGTGGCCTTCTCATCTAGCCTCCATCAGCTATGGGCTCCAGTTCCTGTAGGGCCACCCATCCTGTCTGGTGGAGAGAGAATGAGCTTGTGGCCAGGGCTAGTTGAGGGGATGTGGGCAGTCCCTCATAGGGGAGGGTTTTTGAAATGGTCCTTGGTTCCATGTAGTTGTCCTAAATATTGACTGTCAGAGGCTATTTGCCACTGGGCTCTCAGACCTGAGAGGTCTGGCCTGCTCAGCTCTAAGTAGTGGTATCCTGGATTGAGACTCAGGTTAGTGACAAGAGAGGAGCCGCAGGCCTCAAGGAGGACTCTGTATTGTAGGCCAATCACCCCAGACTCTCACCTGTGAGTCCAAGCTAAAGATGGTTAGCAGGAAGCTGGAAGAGACTCGTGGAGGCTGGGATGTCCTGGCCCAGGGGCGGGGCACTGAGATGGGTGGGGTGGAGGCTGCTGCCATGCCCTCTGCCTGGAGGAACTGAGCTGGCTGCATACCTCGCTGCTCACCTAAGAAGGGAGCAGTCCAGCTGCCCTGAGCACCTCTGCCTTCCCCAATGAGTGGTTTGTGATGGTGTGGTGAGTGCCAGCAGGACAGGGAGAGGGCCCAGGAAACTGCTGTTCCTTCCTTGAGCTCACACTTTCTCTCTTCTCTACAGAACGGATCACTGGGGAAGGCAGAGCCTCCCAGGCACTGCTGGGATCCTCCCTTGAAGAGCCCCCATGTCCTGTAGACAGAGATTTGTAGTCTGTCCGCTTGGTTACTGACTTGAGCTGTCTGACCAGCCCCTCTTCTGTGCCTTGTCTGAGGTCCTTGTCCATCTCTGTGATTGGGCAACTTCTCTGTCTGGGTTGGGTCACCTGAATTGGGAAACTGAAGCCATTACTCTCCAAACCCTGTTTCATCTTCCCAAGCATGTCGGAGAGCTGGCAACAGCCGCCACAAACGCAGCCGCAGCAGCCACAGCCACCACAGCCTCAGCACCATGCAGAGCCACCGCCAGCCCTGGCAGAGCACACGCTGCCCCCAGGTACCGCGGAGAACCCCCTGGGCTGTGCTGTCTATGGCATCCTCCTGCAGCCGGACCCAGGCCTGCAGCCTCCACAACACGCGCCCCTGCAAGCAGCAGGAGAGCCAGGACTCAAATGCGGCGTGTGTGGTCACGACCTGGCACACCTGTCCAGTCCCCATGAGCACCAGTGTCTGGCGGGCCACGACCGCTCGTTCCAGTGTACACAGTGTCTCAAGATATTCCACCAGGCCACTGACCTGCTGGAGCACCAGTGCGTGCAGGCTGAGCAGAAGCCCTTCGTCTGTGGGGTCTGCAAGATGGGCTTCTCACTCCTCACCTCACTGGCGCAGCACCACAGCTCCCACAGTGGCATGGTGAAGTGTTCCATCTGTGAGAAGACCTACAAGCCAGCCGAGGCAGCGGAGCCAGCCACCACTGCCGCCCCGTCGCTTCCCGCAGCACCGCCACCTTCCACTGTCACCCCTGCTGAACAGGCCGACAAGCCCTACAGCTGCCCCATCTGCCAAAAGCCCTTCAAGCATCTGTCCGAGCTCTCTCGGCATGAGCGGATCCACACCGGTGAGAAGCCCTACAAGTGCACACTGTGTGACAAGAGCTTCAGCCAGTCGTCGCACCTGGTGCACCACAAGCGCACGCACAGCTCCGAGCGGCCCTACAAGTGCGCGGTTTGCGAGAAGACCTTCAAGCACCGCTCTCACCTGGTGCGCCACATGTACGCGCACTCGGGCGAGCACCACCTGTTCCGCTGCAATGTGTGCGAGCTGCATTTCAAGGAGTCATCGGAGCTGCTGCAGCACCCGTGCACGCCGAGCGGAGAGCGGCCCTTCCGCTGCGGCGAGTGCCAGAAGGCCTTCAAGCGGCCCTCGGACCTGCGGCAGCATGAGCGCACGCACAGTGCCGAGCGGCCCTTCAAGTGCGACCTGTGCCCCATGGGTTTCAAGCAGCAGTACGCACTGATGCGCCACCGGCGCACGCACAAGGCAGAGGAGCCTTTCAAATGTGGCCTGTGTGAGAAGGGCTTTGGGCAGCCCAGCCACCTGCTCTACCACCAGCACGTGCACACTCTCGAGACGCTCTTCAAGTGCCCCGTGTGCCAGAAGGGCTTTGACCAGTCGGCCGAGCTGCTGCGGCACAAATGCCTCCCCGGCGCGGCCGAGCGGCCCTTCAAGTGCCCTGTGTGCAACAAGGCCTACAAGCGGGCCTCGGCCCTGCAGAAGCACCAGCTGGCCCACTGTGCGGCGGCAGAGAAGCCCCTGCGCTGCACGCTGTGTGAACGCCGCTTCTTCTCCTCTTCTGAGTTTGTGCAGCACCGCTGCGACCCGGCCCGCGAGAAGCCGCTCAAGTGCCCAGACTGTGAGAAACGCTTCAAGTATGCGTCAGACCTGCAGCGGCACCGGCGGGTGCACACAGGCGAGAAGCCGTACAAGTGCCCCAACTGCGACAAGGCCTTCAAGCAACGAGAGCATCTCAACAAGCACCAGGGCGTGCACGCCCGTGAGCAGCAGTTCAAGTGCGTATGGTGCGGGGAGCGCTTCCTGGACGTGGCCTTGTTGCAGGAGCACAGCGCGCAGCATAGCGCAGCCGCTGCGGCTGCGGAGGGCGCCTACCAGGTAGCTGCCTGCCTGCCCTGAGTCCGTGACCGTGGCCCCTACCAGCCTGACTGGAGTAGGCGCCTTTGGCCCAGCAGGCCTCACGCAGCCTAGCTCCTCACAGCTGCCTTGCACCAAGGTCCCTACCCAGCTCAGTGTCCTGAGACCTCGGGAGTGAGGACACAGGGGTTATCAG